GGCAAGCTCTGAAGATTTCTCCTTGCAGGCTTTTCTTGCTTCTTCCCAATTCATTTTAGAAGGAATGATTAAATAGCTGCTGTTACCATAATGGATGAAATCACTATCTGGAGCAGTTGTGGAATGAAACTGTTCAGGTTCTGTAGGAAAGAAGTACAAATTGGAGAGGAAGGGGAGAAAAAGAGTGAAAAATTGCTAGCTACCTCAATAGCAGTATTGAGTAACAGATGAATATAGTGTGGCAGCACAAGCATTAAGTAAAAGCATTTCTTATTTAAAACACAGGAGACGTTTTAATGGTAACTTTGAATTATTTTTAACTATAGTGTATTCAGGAATAAGGGGGAATGAGCTGTGTGTACCTATAGACATACACTGCACCAGATGAAATGGTGTGAGTACTGATCACACAGAGCTCTCTAGGTTCTCCTCATGCACTGCAGGTGAAAATCCTCCCAAGCTCAAGCATGCTGCAGAGTCTCCACACCATTTCAGTCTCAAAATAGGGGTGAATTTCGTTCTAAGCAAATTTTGGGACCCTACTGCTACTTCTTTTCCATGTAGGATGAAGTGAAAAAGGAAACTGAAGTTGTACCTTAAATGATATATGCAGAAGTAGAAGACAAAGATCTAGAGCTAGTGATAGGGACAGAAAAAAAGAACAAAAACTGCCTTTGTTTTCAGTCAGTGTTGAGAACACCTTGACAATTGTTTTTGCTAGTGATGCCCTCATGCAGCTTTCTGCAATTTCATGGGACGGAGCTATGAAACATCTGGCCTAGCTGTGGCTGCTTCCTGTATTTTCACTTGCTGCTCAGCAGTTCCCTGTTTCTATTCCTCTGGACTCTGCAGTGTAGCTGTGCTCCGGATGCGTCTCCTGCCCTGGGGATACACAAAGAAAACTAGAACTTTTGACCTTCTGATTATTGCTGGTGATTGAAAAGCATTGCTAGAGTCTGATGAGCAAAATAACCAGTTTAACTGACCTTAGTTAACCCCACAGTGGAGCCTGTGTGAGGGTTTTTTAGTGACGGGGGCTTAGAGCTGGGGAGGAGGTGGGGAAGTGGCTTTTAGTGTGTTTTCTGTCTAGCTAAGATACCTATGGTGGAAGTCACTGCTGGATTTGTCTTTACGCTTTGTATTCACGTTTGCGAAACAACCTGATTCAGATACCTATATCTGTGCTCGTTAGGTAAAGTGCAGATGACTAAACCTTTCTGTCCATAAAGGAAAAAGACATTTTGAAGGCACAGCTCTTCTAACCTGTTTTGGGCATTTGCCTCAGGATGAGGCAGGTGAACCCTGCCTTCGAAGTGTCTGCTCGCCGTGTTCAGGCAACAGATTTCAGTGTGGACGGCTGCAGGGTAGGTGAAATCATCATACCCACCAACACTCACAGGGGCTGAAGGCTTCATAATCCTTATCCCAGAGCAGGTTTTGTGTCTGGAATTCCTCAGCTGGGAAATTAGCCCTGCTTCCCTCACCCTGACTGTACAGGCACAGCTGGGCAGTCACAACCAAGGACTTAGATGGTCGGATTCTTCAGTAAATGACTTCCAACAAAGAAGGTGAAAAGTAAAACTTATTGCTGTCCACCTGGCAAATATAGCTTTTCTTATGCTGGCAGTCAGTGTTTTCACAATACCCTGGTTCATCTACAGATCTTTTCGTCATTGCAATACAGTCAGTCTAGGGGAAAATTAAAAAAGAAAATTATAGCTAATGAAGTGCAAAGTGTCTGGCAGAATAGTAATAATGGGTTTGAGAAGACAAAGTTGATAGCTTTCTTTTCTAATTTTCTGGCTCTTATTTTCATTTATTGTTTCTTGGAAAATAAACTTATTGTATTATGTATCTTAGGCAAATGTGCTTTCCTTGGCAGGATTACTGCAAGAACTTTTGTCAGTTTATTAAAATTTCTTGGAGTGCACCAGAGCTAGTTTATGGTAATCTGTACTGAATTTGTTGAGCTTTCATTTGGATTCATGCTGTACAAGGAGAAACAATAAAACAATTAAAAATCGCTGCTAGTAGTACTGAATATTTGCAGTAAAATCTAATAATTCTAATTTGAGCGGTAATGATAATATGGTACTCCTTTTCTGCAGTCCTAGAATTCTGCAAAGGAATGGCAATAGGTGTAGACTCTAAGATTCTAAACAGGCCTATTCATCTCTGGGTACAGCTTTAGAAACTTAATCTCTAGAACATTATTCAGTTGCCTTCTGCTTTGAGCCATCGAAACACAGGATCCTAGCTGAGAGACAAGTCAAGTGGTTACACTAACCTTGAGTATGTTATCTAAGTTATGTATTTCCTGATTTTTTTCTGTTTACCTGTATTGTAATATACTTCCAGCCATGTTCCATGTATTTATCTCTAAATGGGAATCGTCTTGCCCACTTTGAATAATCAAAGAGGCTTCCGTCTGTCCAAAGGCAGGTACCCTCAGTGTTAATATCATTCAGTCCAATCCACATTTCATCGGTGACATCCTTTAGGCAGAATGTGAAGAAGGCTATTAAAAAAAAAATAAATCAGAGAGTAGATGAGGAGTTGCCTCATTAAACCAAATTCCAAATAAAACAACCAAAGAACTTTTTAAAATATTGCAAATGTCAGGTTCAGTATTGTTAGACTCTGAGTTAATGGTGAAAGAGAAAAATTACAATGGATAATTTAACTGAAGCAGATTGAATTCATTAAAAAAAAAAGGAAAAGGAAAAGTTTTTAGATAAAAATGATAAAGACTTCTTGGAAATACTATAGAAATTACAGCTAGAAGGCACTTCAAAAGGATTATTCCTCCCCCAGGTAGCATCAACTGCACATATGTAATTTCTGATGGATGTTTTTTTACTTTCTGACTGGAATCTCTGTGGGCATTTCATTACTATGAGCTATTACTGTTTATCCCATCTTCCAAGGCCATGGTGAACAAATTATTCTGTTCCCTCCACATGACACTTTTGCCAAGAGATGGGAAGTGTCATAGCATCTCATTCCAGTCTTCTCTCTGGATCAAGCATGTCTGGCTCTTCCTTTATAGGTTATGCTATTTAGATCTGGAGGCTCATTTCGCCTTGTTGTTAGATGGTGAAATGTCCTGGGTTCATACTTAGCACCTAAAGAATCAGATGTTGTACCTTGCACTTGCTCATTGTGTATAGAGGCCAAATTTCCCCCTAATTCTATACAAACACTTGTTGCAGAGTGCCAAGACAGTCTCTCTTCTTCTTTGGATCCAAATATTTTATAACACTGCAGGAAGAGTAAAGGATTAGACAAAATTTCAGGTGTCAAAGAATATTAAAACCATTGATTTTGATTAATTCAGTTCTAGTCCTTGCATATAAAGAACAGCAGATCGTTCAGCCACCAAGAAGACGACCAAGCTAACCACAGTGACACCTTAGACACCTGTGGGCTGTCCAAGGTTAGTGCTGGGCAAAAGCAGGCAACCTCCGAAAGCTATTGAGGACTTAAGTAGATATCCAGGGTGCACGGGTAGAGATTTCAGATCACATTACTGAAAAGTAGAATTTGACAGACTGAAACTATTCTCTTATTTGGAACATAATTTGGGGCAGGCATCTCAGGTCAAGGTCTTTAAATTATATACCACAGACTTAGTGCTAAAGCCTGAGCTTGTGGGAATGCTCAGCATGAGCAGAAAAGCATCAGCAAGAAGTGCTCCTTTGAACTGTGTATTAGCATCCCATGGGGATTTTTCCTGAGTTTTCCAGTGTAAAAAATTGTTTTTGTGGTTGTGTATGTTCTGAGGGACAGAAGACTTTAAATTGGTATGTGCTGCTTCTGCCTTTTTATGCCCTTTGAACGCATAAAACTTTCTCTTATTTGTTACACTGTGGGATTGATTTGTGGTTTTCGTTTGTTGGTACTTTTTTTTTTTTAAGTTCATAGTGCCAGGTGCACTTTTGCTTAACTTAGCAAAAAACCCTATGTTTGCTTGTTTTCTATATTTGATTTGACATTTATTGCTGTTTGTGTTACTCAAGATGAGTTGTTGTGACAGCTGATTACACATGAAAAGTGTGACCTTTTGGTTTTTTATTCAGAGTTACTTAGAAAAAGGGGCTTACACTTACGGATAATGGAATGGGATTTCCACACAGTAAGTGTGTCTAAAATACACAGAATATTCTAGAAACTGAAAAAGTAACCATGGCTAAAGGCACATGGACATTTACAAAAAATTATAACTTCGAACATTCAAATTCACCTTTTTCTGAGACTTAGATATGGACTTGCCAACATGAAAATTGACTAAACTGCTATTTAGAATACCACTTAATAAATTGGTGTATAACATGAGAGAATTTGTGGTGAGATAAAAGAGATAGTTGTTTTCTTTTCCTAAAGCAAATCTGCTAAATACGGTTGAGTTTTGTTACTGCACCTTATTGTTAAACAAAAGCCAAGTTTCAGGGCATCCTCCCAGAGGTGGAAGTATGGTAGAAGCAAATCCTGAGTAAGTTGCATTGTGTCTTTCACAGATGAAGCCATTTTTTGCAGCACAGCTTATATCATTCCAAAGGCCTGTAAATAAATAGAATAGAGAGAACCACTGTCTGAAACTCTCATGCTACCATTATAGCAGTCAGCCCCAGACAGTACTCATACAGCACAAATGAAAACTTCCAGAGGCAAGTTAAACAGTTGTGATGTACACATTTACCCAAATACACGTCCTTCATCTGCGGTATGTTTGTCTCCTAATAGTGACGGTGTGGTTTTAAGCCACAGCATACTTGTAATGAAAAACTGTCATTATTGAGCAACTACCTATTTGTGGGGTAGCCTCAAATTTAAATGAAGGAAACGTTTTGGATTTTGATGCTAAATTTTCCACCAAATATTTGTCGTTGCTACTTTACTCACCAAAATCTTTTGACATTACCACGCAGTTTTCATCATTATTTGCAAAATTGGGTTCATTTGGAGCCCAGGCAACATAGTTCACTGGGGTCTTATCCAGCCAGCTGAAAGAAACAAGGGGACAGTGGCTGCCGGACAGACATCCCCAGCAGTCATTTAGTTACAGGGTCTGTTTAGGTAAAGGGCTAAGCAAGGTATTATCACTTGACCAGAGGGCAAAGGCTCTACATATACTGGAGAGGACATATCCACAGCATTACTGCTGCTTCTCATCTGCTTCATACTGTCACATTCAAGTCTCATCAGCATCTCGTTTTGCCAGAAGTTGGATAAACAGCGTCATGCTCAAAGAGATTTCTTCTTATGGTCTGGACAAGACTGAAACCCCAAGATCTCACCAATACACAGACTTCCTTTTCATCCCAGCAAGGTGTCCTCCTGGAAGCCTTCCACAAACAGACTTCTAAAACAGATTCCCTACCAGCAATTTCAGAAAGGTGTTGGGTGAGATGTTTTAGCATTGTACCTGTAAAATAAAAGATCATCATCAGCAACATTCCAAATACAAAAAAATCCAGAGAGATTTGCTTTAAGTAATTGCAAATGCTTTGTACAATAGAGAAAAAAGCCCCAACAAACTATGAATTATCTAATGCACTTTCAAGATTTTGGAGCACATACCAAAATGGTTTAAATTAAAAAATATGTATAATTTTGAAACATTTATCTAGTGAAAAATATGTATCTTTAAATCATACATACATATCTCCATAAGCACTGTATTAAACAATCTAGGATGTCCAGTATACACTTTGTAGGTGAAACTTACATCAATTTGAAGATTTATTTAGTATTTTTACTTGGCATGCTATTATTATTTTTTTGTATTCATGGGACTAGAGCCAAACAACATAATCCAGGCAATATATTAAGTTCTCAAGTTTACCTACATAGTAGTAAACTGTTCACAAGTACTGAAGCTTAATGTTGGTATTTTGTTAATACCACACATCTTTTCCAAAGTCTCAATGCATTCCTCCTCTCCTGATGGCTTGGCGTTTACTAGAAAAGTCTGGTTTTAAGAGTCCTGGATATCCAGTAGATACTAAACCCAAGTTTCTGATTACAGGATGGACCAGGAGGAAGCAATTAACCTGTTGCTGTTCCCAGAGCCAGCTATAGCCCCTCAAAGGTAGCTCTGTTTTCGTATGGATGCCTGTTATTTTGTTCTTCACAAGGACTGCTAGTTCTGTTCTTAGCTTTCTGCATTTCTTCTGTGGTTTGATGGAGAAGAACACATTGTTAAAGAAATGACAGGAACAGTTTAGATGAAAAATAAGCAAACAAATACAAAACCAATTAAAATTCTTCTGTTGGGAGCTTTTAAACATCTTAAGTATTTTGTGAAGAATAGAACTAAAATTATTCAGGTATCTTCATGATGACTTTATACACTCCACCTCATTTTGATTTTATTTTTTAATCCTACTCTTAAGTGAGCATGAGGGAATTAACAGCTGAGCATCTGTCCTCTCATGTTGGTCATCGTATAATCTAGATTCACAACAAGATCTAATTCTTTTTTTTTGTTTTACTTTTGAAAGGTCATCTAGGATCAGAGTCTTTATGTCATGGTTTCTGAACTCCTTCTGAGTAATCTCACCAAGAGCAGAGCACCACATCTGTACAAAGCAGCATGCCCAGTGCACTAGAAAGCCCTGCACAAGATGCGCTGCTTCAAGCTGGCATGCAGAAGTCAGTGTTTTGGTGCTGCATTTGTATGACTAATCTACCCACAAGGGAAGAGTGATTTCTCCTTTTTGATTAAGCAATTTTTCAATATTAGCATGGTGCCTTATTTATTGTAGCCATTTGTTGGCAGTCAACAAATATTAGATATATGCAGTGCTTTTTATATAACTGCTTCTTCCTTCCGCGCCCTATTGTGCCTCCTACTAGTTCCCTGTGTGCATCCAACTTTCGTTTTATTTCAAGAAGGTTTTAAGAATCTCCTGCTCCATGGAGATGCATACAAGTACTCAGTTTACAACCAGGAAGCAGGA